GAAGGAACCTTTTATCATCTTTGGTGGACCTGTGAAAAGGCTAAAAAAAATTGGGATCAGACATGTATTGCTATCCAAAAGATTCTTAAAGTGAGCATTCAAAAAAAACCAGAACTGTATTTATTAGGTTTGATTGAGAAAGGACTGGAGAAACAACATGGGCCTTTGCTTTTGTATATGATCACAGCTGCAAGAGTGTTATATGCGCAAAGATGGAAGGATCCACAAATACCTACAGTGGAGGAATGGATCATTAAATTAATGGATTTGGCTCAAATGGCGAAGTTAACAGCATTAATAAGAAATAATACTGTTTCTAAATTTGTCTCCTCATAGCAATCCTTCTTAGATTATGTGCTTGTGTGGGGAAAAAATGAGGCTCTGATTATGGGTTTTAATGATTAGATGGTTTGTGTTGATAGAAATAATGCGAACTTGGATTAATCAGTGGTAAGAGATTAACTTTCTTTCAATTTATATCTATATCTGTATTGGAGATAGCCAGAAGTCACTTTCTGTTTCATTCTTCTATCTACTTTCACTATTTTAGTTTTTGTCTTTATTCTTTTAGTTCTATCCTCTTTCTTTGCTGTACTCTTTGTTTTGTATTTTAATTGTACTTTTTATATGTTTTTATTAAAAAAAAGAAAACAGAATAAAAACAGTAAAACAACCAAAATTTAAAAACAAAACTAACACAAAAATGGCAGCTGAGAAAATATATAATAAATTATCATATATAATTTTATTATTATTAAATTATAGTAATAATATAAATATAATATAAATAATATAAAGTAGTTATAATTATATATTATTTAAAATCATTCGATTATATTTATATTAAAATCATAATTTAATGATTGTGTAATAACTAATATATGTATTATTTATAATAGTATATATTTATTGTTATTTACAATAATTATGTATAATAATATATAATAATTATAAATTATATAAATGCATTATTTTAAATTATTATCTATTAAATTATTCTTATTCTTATTCGGCCTTCACTCCTCTCGTCTCTCCTCTCTTTTCGAGGCTAACCTCCACAACAGGGCACAAGGCTGTACTCGGCCCATCCTTCTTCCCTAGCCTTTTTCTTCCTCCTTTAGGAAGGCCGATTTGTGCACTGGATCCTTTCTTACGTGCATTTCTATACCGTTTCTCCCCCAGTGCTCTTCAAGCAACGTTACAGGCCGCCCCATCGCAGCTCCTGAACGCCCTGAGCACGAACAAGAAGCGGGCAGAGACAGAGACAGCCCAAGTTCGCGCCCAAGATTTTAAACGGGAAGAGCAGAGTTTTGGGCAAGGCCTGCAGAGCGACCCCCCGGCCCGCCTTCCCTCCCGGGGGTCCCGCAGCCGGGCGATGCCCACCAACCTGGATGCGGGTCAAGAGCAGAGGCCCGCCGAGGCTCCTCCTCCCCTCCAGCCGACCGCTTTCCCCCCCGCGGGAAGGCCTCTCTGGCGTGGAGGCCCTGCTCGGCTTCCCCTCGCTTCCCGAAGCCTGTCCCCGGCAGCGCCGCCCGGCCGCTCCTCCAGCGCCTCCCCGAGGCCTCGCGGCGCTTGGGCCGAGCCGGACGGGAGACGCGGCATGGAGCTCTCCGAGGCCTCCTGCTTCTCGGCGGCCTTCAGCTGCGCCTTCCTCGCCTCCTGCCTGCTTTTCTCGGCGCTCAACCGGCAGCAGCCGGCGGCGTACATGGACGAGGTCTTCCACGTCCCGCAGGCGCA